ACCACAGATGCCAACCCAGATTACTATACCCAGCCAAAATGTCTATTATAGTCAAAGGGGAAAGAAAAATCTTCCATGACAAAAATAGTCTGAAGGAATTCTTGTCCAGAAAACCAGCACTTCAGAGATATCTGTAAGCAATACAAAGAGCCGAAGAAAGGAATGACTATACCCAAGGAGTGCAGAAAGACACACTTAAGGAAAACTGACTCTCTCCTCCCTGCAACTATCAATTTTCAATAGTTCCTCAGGCAGGGCTAAGGTTTCTTCCATCCATCCCCTTCCTCTATGCTGGAATTTTGTCTGACGAGCTTGCACAGGTCTGGGGCATGCTGTCACAATTGCTGTGAGATCATATGTGCAGGACCCCTGCTGTCTAGAAAACACTCATCTCACTTTCAATGACAGGCACTATCTTAAGGTGAAAGGATGGAAAAAAATGTACCACATGAATGGTACTAAGAAAAAAGCAGGTGTTATAATTCTAATATTTGATAAAATATACTTTAAACTAAAATTAATCAGAAGAAATAAAAGAGGGCCACTTTATTCTGAACAAAGGAACAATAAACCCAGAAGATATTATAATCCTGAACAAATTTTCACCAAACTCTGGTAGACCCAACTTCATTAAAAAAAAATACTACATGACTTTATTACCCAGATTAATCCCAACTCATTAGTTGTAAGGGTCTTCAATACCCCACTGTCTCCATTAGACAGCTGAACAGGGCAGAGAATTAAAAGAGTGACATCTGAATTAAACAACACCATATATCAAATGGACTTAACAGACATTTACTAAGTAGTCCACCCAAGCACCAAAGGACATACTTTCTATTCAGCACCCCATGGAACCTTCTCCAAAATCGACCATATACTGGGGCACAAAACAAACCTCAAGAAATACAAAAAGATTGAAATAATTCCATGTGTTCTATCAGACCACAAAGCAATAAAGCTTACAATCAACACCGGAAGAAGCCCTAATCACCATATGAACACATGGAAGTTAAACAGCACACTCCTGAACATGAATGGGTCAAAAGAGAAATTAAGAAAGAAATAAAAGTATTCTTGGAACTAAATGAAAAGGACAATACAACCCAGCAAAAGCTCTGGGACATGCTGAAAGCTATCCTTATAGCTAAGTTCATAGCTATAAGTGCCTACATTTAAAAATCAGAAAGAACACAAATAAATGACTTAACATTGCAAATCAAGACACTTGAAAAGCAACAACAAATGAAACATAAACCCAGCAGATGAGAAGAAATAACAAAAATCATGGCAGAAATTAGTGAAATCGAAACAAAGAAAACAATACAAGGAATCAACCAATCCAAGAGCTGGTTCCTTGAGAAGATAAACAAGATTTGACAGATTGCTAGCCCAGTTAACCAAAGGAAAGAAAGAGCACCTCCAAATCAACAAAATAAGAGATGAAACAGAAAACATCACAACAGTCACCAGAAAGATACAAAACATTATAGGGGAATACTTTAAAAACCTATATGCTACTAAATTTGAAAACCTAAAAGAAATGGACAGATATCTAAAAGCATGGGAA